AATTTAGGTTAAAATTACTCATCTTGGATTCAGTTGATTATTTTCTTTTTTCAATGGAAATATGTCTAAACATTCTCAATTCCATAACTTAGTTACAGGCAACAGATTTTTCCACAACCAGTGAAGTCTGAAATAAAAATAGAATATAAAGTGAATGTATAAAATTGGTGCACTTAAGTCTGCAACATATTGCATATTCTATTCAAAATTACAATTGTAACCTTATAAAAGTGGTACTTTTTTTTTAAAAAAAAGCTTAGGATATAAATTAATATAGTCGTATCTTTTTTACTGTAACTAGATACAATGTAATATTTAGTTCATAGTTGCTCTTATGGAAACTCTTACTTGCTATGTACTTGAGGCAACTTTTACTTATATTTGGTAGCAAAGCAATAGTTTTTTGTCTAAAATAAATGCTTTAATTCTTTTAATTTCTGTTTTTAATCAAATAGTAAAACTTGTGTTTCATCCTCTAGAAAATTGTAACAGACAACATTAATTTTTTTGGTGTCAAACTGTGGAAAAATAAAGATGTAATGTGTACTTCAGTGCTTATTTTCATAAGAACTGAAATGAATTAATTTTAATGTGCTGTCTTGTGGTATTGCTAGAATGTATTCTATATGAAGGGCTTTGCTTTTGCTTCTAATCTAAAATGTGTAGAAATATATAATATTCTAAAGTTCTCTGCCACTGAAGTAAAAAATTTTAAACATTCCCAAAATAAAATTTCACTGTGTAATAATCATTAACAGAGATTCCAGTTCCCTCTTTGTTTTGGGAAAATGTCTTGTTTACAGTAATTCTTAATTGAGCCTATTTTTCTCTACCTATATGTACCAAGATGGGCTTTGCTCCATTTTGCTTTTACTGAACCGAGAGGTTTAACTAACTTCACTTGCTGTGGCATAGAAAACCTATTACGGCTCGGTATAGTTTTACAAAAAGAAATATTGTGTATTGACCTGTCTCCAAACTGTTAATTTGTTGACAATTGAATTGTACTTTCAGTGAATGTTGTTTTTGTTTCATTCAGCTGTGCTTGCTTTAGAGATTTATATATACCTTCTAAAGCTACAGCAGAAACAGCATAACTGTACATTTTATTGGATTAATGGCACTCATTTATGGCATTATGAATGAATCCTTTCAAGTATTAAGAATTGTTTGCCTTCTATAAATACTGAAGTATACTCACTTTCACCTACAGAAAGGAGTTGCCCTTTATCTGATAACTTTAGCATGGAACCTTTCTAAAGGTGCTGACCATGTGCACTTTCAAAGGATTGCAGGGAAGTTAAGGTCCCTGAGCACTTACGGGAAAATAAGCCATTAGCTATCAAAGGAGTAACACTTATACTGGTCAACTTCATCTTATTTCTCCAACATTCAGGAGTGGGCTACTGGCTAGATCCATAAAGGGCCTAAAGTGCTGCAATGTTGAGTTGCAATGCCTAACTTGTAGGAGCCTTGCTCTCCAGTAGAATACACAGACCTCCTTGCCCAATGTAGGGAGAGATTTAGGCACCCAAGAATGAGATTCATAAGAGCCAGAACACTGATTGGGAAGTCACCTAAGGTAGCCAGTAAGAAAGGGCTTGGACCCCATCCCTGAGGAAGTTAAGCACTTACTACATCTTGGAATGCTTTAGTCATAGTTAAGGCTACTGAAGCATGTAATCTGGCCTGTATAGTACAGGCCACCAACACTGCCCAGTACCTGTACACTAAACTAACGATTTTTTTTTTTAAGAAATTTTTAGCCCGTGGTTAGAGTGATGTGGAAGACTCAGGTTCCAATCCCCATGCTCTAATTATTTAATACACTGTGCAACAGGAAAGAGTGAGGCCTGCTCCATTATACCCTCTAGCCCAGTGATTAGGGTACTTTCCTGAGGGGGAAGGGAGGAGACCCAAATTCAAATCCTTTATCCATATCAGACAGTGGGACAATTGAATCTGGTGTCCCACCAGCATGCATGTTCTAACCCAGGGGTTCTCAGACTGGGGGTTGTGAGCTTATTACATGAGGGGGAGGGGGTCACGCCTGTCAGCCTCCACCCCAAACCCTGCTTCACCTCCAGCATTTATAATGGTGTTAAATATATAAAAATGTTTTTAATTTAAAAGGGGGTGGGTCGCACTCAGAGGCTTGCTTTGTGAAAGGGGTCACCAGTACAAAAGTTTGAGAACCCTGTTCTAACCACTGAGGTATAAGGGAGGCACAACCTCTGGCTGTTTTGTATGGGAATGGGCATGCTTGCATACTACCTAGGCAGGGGAAACACTGAATTTGAGGATTCTGCTGGGATGTATGCATGAGATGGGCACCTAAACTGAAGTAGCTGTGTGCATGCTCACTGGCAGAAACTTTAGTGCCATAGAACTCTAGCTGCCTTCAGAGTTAGTAGCTGACAGGGTGTTTTGAGGATCTTGGTGTCACCTAAAGTGGCAGGTGCCTACATTTTTCTTGGTAGATCTGGCCCTCAGACTTCTTAAATTACAAGCTTTTAGGGAAAGTCTTTATCCCAGTAAAATTTTCAGAAGCAACTATGTGATTTAGGCTCCTCAGACCTATTGACTTCCAAGAGGTATTAGGTGCCCAAGTGCCATTTTCAAAAGTGGCTTAGGGTAAAATTTTCCAAAGCAGATAATTTACTAGGCTCCTAAATCTATTGCAAAAATATATATGAAAGGAATTTAATAGGGCATCTTTCTTGGGAGTCCACCACTTTAAGGTGTGGCATTCATTCATGCATGCATGACAGTGTTGGTCACTAATGATTAGCTAGATCCCACAGCTCCCAGCCTGAAACATTATATTCAGACTTGTATTGAAGCCTAACTACTTTGTGGACTGCTACATTTGATATAGGGTGGCTAATAACTTTAGGGGTGTGGAGATTTGCCTAGTGATCAGTACTCTACTATTCCAAGAGGTCTCCGATCAAATCCCATTCTGGTCCTGAAGCCTTGAAGGTATTTGTCAATTGCAGGGTGGGAGATTAGTTCCTTAGGCTACTTGTTAGTATACTGTATTGTCATACAGGACACCCTCATTTCCTGCCTTGATCTGTTTGATCGAGTGGATAATGTACCACAAAAATGTTTAGGGTACTAAAATGTAAATTTTGATAAGTAGCTTATACTAGACTGCCTCTTCTATAAAGAAACACTCAATAGAGCAGCAAAACTCTCTGCATAATAGTACATAAGAATGGCCCTACTGGGTCAGACCAAAAGTCCATCTAGCCCAGTATCCTGTGTCCAACAGTGGCCAATGCCAGGTGCCCCAGAGGGAATGAACAGAACAGGTAATCATCAAGTGATCTATCCCCTGTTGCACATTCCCAGCTTCTGGCAAACAGGTACTCAAAGTCAAATAAAACTGGAATGAAAATGTCAAGCATAGAATAAAGTGACTGCCTAAGATAGGAAGTTGCCCACTGGAGGTTCTTTCATTTAGTCTTCAGCGTGTATGACAGGGGAATCATAGGACTGAAAGGGACCTGAAGAGTCCAGTCCCCTGTAGTAATAGCAGGACTAAATATCTATTCCATAATCACAATAATAATTGCTGCTATTAATAATTCCACCACTAAGTCACTCAGGGCTGTGAAAAATTGAATCCCCTGACCACCATAGTTAAGTGGACCTAACCCTCTGTGTAGCCGTGGCTAGGTTGATGGAAGAATTCTTCTATCAGCCTAGCTACTGCCTCTCACAGAGGTGGATTAACTACATCAATAGAAAAATCCTGTCCTTTGATGGTGGAAGCATCTTTATTACAGAGACACAGCTGCAGCACCATAACTCTGCTGCTACAGACGCTGTATTGCAGATGTGCCCTTAGGCAACATGATCCAGGGGTGTACTTAAAGAAAAACAAACAATCTCGTATAGACAGCTCTATATTACACTGACTATAGATGCATTTAGGGGATAAAAACCCTTGAACCATATAATCCTGTATCCTTCTGAATAAAAAGATGACTCAATATAAGTTATACAGTTAAAATAATTTAGGCACCGTTGTCTATATCTTTTTGAATTATTTCCCTCTGAAGTACTCTAGTTTCTTGGCATCCTTGTATAGTAAAACAAAAATAGAAAAAACTAAGTACTATTTTGTCTGGATTGTCTTACATATTTTAGTTTTGCTTACATTTATGTATTTTACCTGTAAGGTTTTATCAGCGCCACAAGAAGCTATTCTCTGTCCATCCTTGGAAAAGCAGGCATGGTAAACTGCATCTGTATGGGGACGGACAACCAAACGGGAGAGGTTGTTCATGGATTTTTTATTTCTAGAACACAGAAATAATAGTCAATGATTTAAGAAAAATACTAATACGTGAGGTTTCTTCTTTCAATCTAATCCACACAAAAAATGCCTGTACATCTATGTTTTGCAGAACACTTTAATATCTTTCACTTTTGTCTTCCAGATTTCAGGGCATAAGAGTAACATATATTGCAACTTTCCACATGCACTGTAAGGGCTCGGATAGCTATACGATCTGATCGTCCAAAAGTGGGATAATTTTTGTATGAAGAGTTAACAATCACCTACGTGCTAACTTGTTGCTCACTAGTGCACTTTCCTTCCAAAAGCATATTTAGAACAAGTACAGAATCACAGACGTGCAGGACTGGAAGGGACCTCAATAGGTCAGTTAGTCCAGTCCCCTGCACTCAAGGCAGGATTAAGTAATAACAAGACCATTCCTGGCAGGTGTCTGTCTAACTTATTCTTAAAAATCTCCAATGACTGATATTCCACACCCTCCCTAAGCAATTTGTTCCAGTCCTTAACTACCCTGACAAGAAGTTTTTCCTAATGTCCAACCTAAGCCTCCCCTGCTGCAATTTAAGCCCATTGCTTCTTGTCCTATCCTCAGAGGTTAAGAACAACAATTCTCCCTCCATGTAACAACCGTTTATGTACTTGAAGACTGTTATGTCCCCTTTCATTCTTCTCTTTTCCGGACGAAACAAACCCAATTTTCTTCAGTCTTCCCTCAGAGGTCATTTCAGGGAGGAAACACCTTGTAAAATTGAGAGCAGATTTTTACAAACAACAAAAACCCTGTAGATAAAAGCCATGTGATTTCTCAAAACATTGCACACTAGGTAGGCCAAAAACCTAGGTATAATCAGAGCAATTTTTAGGGCAGGTCAAAACTGGTGTTTGCCAATTTGTTTCTGGTTTTAATTCTCCATGGGAGGTTGGATAACACCTACATTGCTGAAACTTCAATTCCATAATGTGAGTCCACTATTAGTTAATATTGGTTACCATCCTGATTTAATGACATGACTTAAAACAATCACAAAGAAGCCCTGTTATGCTATTCCTTAATAAGCAAAAGGATTGATCAGTCCAGTAAATGTTACATATTTCTCCTTTCTGCTACAACTTTGTATTTTATCTGTAGGAAGAAAGCTAGAGTTGCTTTTTGCCTATGCAACAGCAAGTCTTCACAGATGCATAAACACAGTAAAGGTATAACTTAGGACTTGTCTAAGTCTAACTGACTTTGAAATGGCCATAAAAGTGGCACAATAGAATACCTATATGCTTCATATAAACATCTAACAAACTTTATTTTTCAAATTACTAAGGATGGTCAAACTCATTTGCCTAACTTTAAAACTCTCTAACATTGTTGGTCCAAAAGCTTGACTTAAGGTATAACGGTCTTGACTTTGTATGCAAGCTAGGCAAGACTCCTTTTTTTTCATGGCGGAAAATGCAGAATAAAATTAGGGAGGAAGATGAAGCAAGAAGGGTGCAGAGTAGGAAAAACAAATACAGAGAAACTCATGAGGTGGGAAAACTAGGAGCAGAGGAGAGAACGTCTAAAAAATATTTATACAACAGGTGGGGTGTGGGCTACTTAGGGCAGATAGATTTGAATGCATTGCACAGAGCTCCTTTAACAAGAAAATCACGTTCCTTTGGAAGAAAAAAAAGTTTTAAAAGGAGGAAGTTTGCAAACTCACGTGTTTGGCAAAGCCCACAATGTAAGATCTACTAAGCTGCAAACTCCGCAAGAATTCCTCTTTCCTACTGACATCTATGATAAAGAATAGTATTAAATTAAACCAATTATATATTGTAAATACTGATGTCCACTTTTTCCTAGTCATAGATCCACCAAACTGCATAGTGCAATACATAATATTCAATG